AAGGATTGGCTCTTGCAGACGGCGGCGCACGTGGTGGTGCTCCAGGAGCACCACTTGCTCGCGCACCAGACCTTAGATGCTCAGCGCTGGGCCCTTAATCACGGTTGGAAATCGATCTTCGGGAGTGCTAAGGCTTCGTCCGACTTAGGTACCTCTGGAGGTGTGGCTATTCTTGCTCGTGCTGGCCTGGGCCTACATTGGCCCCCAGGGGGTTACGAGGTTGAAGACTCTCGTGCTGTTGCAGGGGTTGTTCATGTTGGGGATCTTCCTCCCATCCTGTGCATCTCCTGCTACTTGTCGTGCTGCGAGGGTCTGTCCGACAGGAATTTGGCCCTGCTTTCGAAGATCGGTTCGATGGCCAGCAGCAGCCTCAGCAGTTTCGTGATCGGAGGCGATTTCAATATGGAGCCCTCGCTGCTTGACGACACCAATTTCGTTCAGCAGTTAGAGGGCCAGGTGATCACGGCAGGTGTGTCCACCTGCCTTAGCTCAGCTGGCGGAAAGGTGTATGATTTGTTCGTGGTGTCTGGTGGTTTGTCCAAAGGTATCAGGGAGACGTGGGTCGACAGGTTTGCTCCGACGTCTCCCCACTCTCCCGCGGGGGTCGATTTCCATACCAGGCTTGCCGATCTTAGAGTTTTACAGTTCAGGAAGCCTCCTCCTTTGCCTGTGGAAGTCCCTGTCGGGCCTGGACCAGAGCCCCAGGACTGGGATTCTACGCTGGACTTGGCATATGAAGTCCTCGTTTGCGCCCGTCGGGGTTCTCTGGGTGCTCACTACGGGCTCACCGACTTGTATAGGCGATGGGCCAACCTCGCCGAAGCCGAGCTTGCTGATCAACTCCAGGTTAAGCTCCCCCAGACTGGGTGTCGAGGAGAGATTCCCAAGGCCTGGTGGGTTCCTGTCTTGGGGCGTGACCAACGGCCAGCTCGTCATCCTGAACTTTTTGTTTGTAGATGGCTTTCTCAGAGTTTCAGGGATTGGACCACTTCCTGGAGGTCCTTGCATCACAAATGTTCTGGTGGGATCCCTATCATGAGTGCCAAGAAGGTTCTCGAGTACCCCTCGCCGTTCATTCAGAAGCATATGGGGTCTGGAGCTATCTTCGAGGCCCACCGTAGAGTCTTGGACTTCATTAGGCAGGACAAGGTCACCCTGGAGGCCATAGGCGGCGTGTCCATCGAGTTAGCTGACCTTCTGGACTCGACCGCCAAGGCGGCTCGAGCTGCAGGTGAGCGGTCGTGGAAGGAGTGGCTTCTAAGGGACATTGACCAGGGCGGCGGCCGCAATGCGCACGCCTGGACGCGTCCTGTAGAGGCTTGGGTTCCCTCCACGACCCTCAGTGCTGCGGGCCAGGTTGTGTCCGATCCTCGTTCCCTTCTGCGTGCTGAAGGGGAACGTTTTCAGAAGCTATGGCTGGCCGAAACCGAGCTGTTCGATTTTATGGACCCCAAGCCCTTCCAACCCCTTGAACATCTTCCCCTTGTTTCGCCCGAGTTCTTGAGGGAGAAGAGCAGGGGTTATTCCAGGCGGTCGGCTGTGTCGGTTGACGGCTTTCACCTTCGGCATTACGCGCTTCTGTGTGACAAAGCCCTGCAAGTTGTCTCGCTGCTTTTCGCCATCATGGAGACGATGGCCGTTTTGCCTGAGCAGCTTCGTTTAGTCATGCTGGCAATGCTGGCCAAGCCGTCTGGCGGCCTCCGCCCCATAGGCATCTTCACCTCGCCCTACAGACTTTGGGGGAAATGCAGGAGGAGGGAGGCGATGATGTGGGAGGAGGCCAACCAGCATGCTATGTTCGCTGCATATGGTTTCAAGTCGGCTGCGGACGTGGTCTGGCGGCAGACTACTAAGAGTGAAGGGGCTGTGCAGCTTGGCAAGTGCTCGGCGACCCTCCTCTGGGACATGTATAAGTTTTACGAAACCATGGATCTTGAGGACCTCGCTACTAGATGCGATGAGTTGGAGTTCCCCCAGGTTGTTTCCAGACTCTGCATCGCGGCCTATCGGGCCCCCAGGTACCTGAACATCAGTGGTTTCATCCAGGGGCCGTACCTGGCGATTCGTGGTGTCATTGCTGGATGCAGTATTGCCACCAGTTTTGTCAGGGCCTATTACATGAAAGCCTTTTTGAATGTCGAGCTGCACCCGTCTTCGGTCCTGGATCTCTACATTGACGACCTGGGCCTGTCAGCCCAGGGTAGTTTCCATGAAGTTTATTCGGCCATCACCGTCGGGGCTGTGGGCTTGTTCAAGGCTGTGGAGGCCGATATCAAGTGCAAGGTCGCCCCCGACAAGGCGAGCCTCGTATGCAGTCAGCGGCGTCTTGGGGATAAACTCCTGGCCTTCTTGGGCGTCTGGGCTGGCCCTGGTGGGACCTCCTCGGCTGTCAACCTGGGGACTGACGACGCCGCTGGTCTGCCTAGGAGGGTCAAGGGCAGTTGTAGGAAAGCCAAGCAGCGCCGCTCCACCTTCGACAAGCGTGTCAACAGGATCTGCAAACAGCGTCAGGTCCTGGGCCGTTCTGCTAAGAAGATCTTCACCAGTGGGGCCTTGGCTGGGTTAAATTTTGGCTGCGAGATTCACGGAGTCAGCGACTCTGAGCTTGGCCACATTCGCCGTCAAGCGGGTAAATGTATCAGACCGTCTTGTGGCGGGCGTAGCCTCTCCTCTGCTTTGGTTTGCGAGGATGACCCCACGTACTATGGGATGGTCGCTCCTATCGTTCGTTGGGGGAAGGAGGTGTGGGCGGCCCAGTATCACCAGTACTTGGGGGGTATGACTTTTAAGGAGCTCAGGAAATGTTGGTCGTCTGTTTTCGAGGGAAAGCTGCAGCCCAAGACATGGCGTTCTGTCGCTGGCCCGATCTCTGCCCTCTTCCTGTCTGTCAAGCGCATCGGTTGGTCCATGCCCAACTACGCCACCCTCGCCATGCATGACGGCACACCAGTCTCCCTCACCTTCGTCAGCCCTACCCTCTTGAAGGACATCCTCAAGCGGGCAGTTGTTAGGGACCTGGAGATGCATGTGGGAAGGAGTTTGGACGTTGGGTGGGATAGGGCTTGCTTCGATATCTGCAAGAGCCAGCTTCGTTCGAAGAAATATTCTGCTCTGGAGAAGGGTTCGATCAGGAACCTGTGCTGCGGTGGAGCCTGGACAGCCGACAGAGCCGCTGAGGTGGGCTACCAGCTCAGCGTCGAGCAGTTGCTCTGCCCACTATGTCGTGCTCATCCAGACTCTGTGCATCACAGGCTTTATGTGTGCCCAGCTGTTTCTGAGACCCGCAGCGAGCTTATTCCTCCAGAGATCCTTGAGATTGCCCTGGGTCCGCTGTCGGATGGGGATCGCGTCCTTTTCGATCGGGGGATCTTCGAGCATCCCGAATCGTTCTGGCCTAGGGCCCTTAGCTCGGGGGGTGGGGCCATCCTGCCAGCTACTGAGGAAGAGGACTTCTCGGAGGAGCTCGCTAATGGGGACCTGCAGGGTAGTATCTATGTTGATGGGAGTTGTTTTTGGCATCCCATCCCAGAACTTTCAAGGGCGGGCTGGGGGGTTTGCATGGTCTCCCCCCAGGGCTCCCTCCTGTGCGCCCTGCATGGCCCTGTGCACCACCCGATTAGCCAGACAGCACCAGCTGGGGAGTATTGTGCCCTCGCCATGGCCGCTCTCCATGTTGTTGCCAATTCTGAAGTTTTTTTCTGACTGCCTTGCGGTAGTTAATCATTTCCGCCTGCCCCCCAGCGAACGTGTTTCGTTCAGGAGGCGTTATGCTGGCCAGTTCCTGTATATCAATAGTGCCCCGTTTGTCCAGTCTGTGGTGAAAGTTAAAGCCCACCAGGACAAGGACGAGTCGGGCATTTCGGATGATGAGAGAATCCGCAGGGTCGGTAACGATTTCGCCGACAAAGCTGCGCAGCGCGGGGCCCGCTCTCACCCCCAACCTTCGCCCGAAGAAGAAGAGCGAGTGAACCGTGCTGTCAAGATTAGTAAAGTTGTGTGCCGACTAGCGGCCAAGTTGCTCCCAATGTGGCCACGATTGAACTTGGAGGGTGCTCCGTTTGTCGCTCCTTGTCGCACCACCCGTGGTCCCGAGGAGCCCGTGGTCCAGCATCAGTGGCAGTGGCAACACTCTGTGTGGAGGTGCGTTGTTTGCAGGTTAGGCTCTCGTTCTTGTGTCAAGCCGCCTGGTGGTTCGTGCACCGGCGTTGCCAGAGCAGATCTGGACATCGCCGACTCTCTTTCGCACAGCGTTGTTATTCTGCCGTGCACTGATGGTTCTGATTTTTATTTCTGCCCCAAGTGCGGGGGATTTATGCATCAAGCTGTGTTTGTCAAGACTGCTTTGTCCAAGGAATGTCCCAACGAGTTGCGCGGCCATGGCCGCACGAATTTTAACAAAGTCATGCAAGGCCGCCACCCAAGGAAGAACCTGGGGGTAGGCCGACCTGAAGAGTTGCCAGCAGGGGCGTTTCCCGCCCTTGCGCCCTCGTCTTTGCCCGTCCCCAACTTTTGAACGGATTGTTCGAAATCATTGGTCTCAGAGCGCTTTCCCTTTCTAGGGATGTGTTTTAGTTTTGTCTCGTCCCCCTTGCGGGGGTCGAGGAGCATCCAGCCCTTTTGGCGTCGTGTTGCGGCCCAACCGTGTGCTCGCTCTGCCATCAGCGTGGGGCGAACGCAGCAGGCTGAGATGTTTTTCCCCCTGCTCCCCCCAATGCGGGTGTGGGCGAGGGGGGCGCCGCTGTTTCCACGGCACTGCGGGACTGGCAGCCGTACGGCGTGAGTCCCCCCGCAGTTGCCGTGACGTCAGCGGCGGGGCAGGGCTGGTGGCGTAAGTGGCATGAGGCGCCACCCAGCCTTGCCCCTCCTCTGGGGGGAGGCGCCGTCCCCCCAGAGAGTACGGCTTGGCAGTTGTTGATGTAAAAAAAATCCTCCTCCTCCTCCTCCTCCTCCTCCTCCTCCTCCCTCCCCTCCTCTGCCGCAGCGTTCCGCGGTCGAGGGGCCTTTGGGTCGCACCCTATCTCGGTGCCCAGCTCGTGCTGGTTGTTGGCGTAGGCGCAGACCCAAATGGCGGCCTCCAGGGGGGGGGAGGGGGGCAGGGTCGGGAGAGAATCCATGCGAGGATGGAGTATATGAGGACCGGGAGGAGCATGAGGGAGGATAATGGGGAGGAGGAGGAGGAGGAGGAGGAGGAGGAGGAGGAGGAGGAGGACGAGGGTTCAGGAGAAGGAGGGTGCAGAGAGCAGGAGGGGGGCAGTACTAGGAAATGCGGCGAAAACCAGGGAGGATATGAGGGGAAGGTGGAGAGACGAAGAAAGGATGAAGAGGTGTAAACAAGTGATGAAGAAAGAGAAGGAGGAACAACAAGGATTACGAAGACGAAGTGAATGAAGAGGAGTAGGCGGAGGAGGAAGAGGAGGAGGAGGAGGAGGAGGAGGGGGAGGAGGAGGAGGAGGAGGAGGAGGAGGAGGATGAGGAGGAGGAAGAGGAGGAGGAGGAGGAGGAGGAGGAGGAGGAGGATGGACGGGGGGATGGCTAGACGATGAACCGAGCGACCTCTTTGGGACATTTGTTTCGAGAGAAATGCGGACCTGTTCCCACAACGCATTCTCCGTAGCCCTTCGTAGCCTTGTTATCGTACTTCTCGGGCCTTTCCGCCAGAGCGAGGGGGGGGACGACGACGTCGGTGGGTACTTGTGTCCTGTGGGCGAAGAGGAAGAGGACGAGGAGGAGGGGAAGGAGGAGCCGGAAGCTGGAGCATGATGACACTCTTGCGGAGGACAGGGAGGAAGGAGGGGGGAGGAAGCCGAGGAGAAGGAATTCCCCGTGTACAGGGGGAGGAGGCCCAAACATCAGGCCGCTCCACTTTGTCAGATGCGCGGGCCCTGGAGGTCTGGACCACTTCCCTGGGGCCCGCTTTTCGTCCCGAGTCGTTGTTCGACGGTCCCGAGGCCTGGCGAAGGCCTCCAGAGGCCGAAAACGACCCCAAACCCGCCGCTGCAATTGTTTGGGAGCGTCGGATCTCTGGGGGGGAGGAGCAGCGCGCCTCGTCGCCCACGTCCGTCCCGCGGTTGCGGCGATCCTGCGGCGGCTCGGGTGGTGGTGGGGTGGGGGGTGGGGCGGCGGGCGAGAGAGGGCGCCTCCAACGGGGGGGTCGGGTACGGTAGGTTCCTGCGGCGTCGGCGCGCGCAAAGGTTTTTGACACCGCGTCGATCGTCTAACCTTGAATCGATCGCGTCCCCGATCGTTGAAAATTGAATTCATTCGGGTCCAATGGCGTTACCGCGTCTCTCGGTGCTTCCGCGTCGCAGAATTCAACCT